TTGTACATATAACGAGCTGTCGTTAGGAGCACCTTCTTAAATTGACAGGACTAATCTGTGCACCACCTGAGCACATAGCCAGTCTGTGGGAGCCAGTATTATTGTTGGTTGGTAGGGGATCAATTACTTATTATACTCACTGAACTGCAACTCAGTTTATAATATTTGTATCATGTTTTTTTTTCTGGATTTTTGGTTGATAAATAAATGGTTTAATAAATACATGATGTACCACGGTAATGCACAATGAGAGTGCGCCCTTGTTTGCTTTTATTCACCAGTACCAAGATTCCCGATCTTTGAAGGGCTGCACCTCAACGTTTGACATTCAGAATTCCTTCTAGTTTGCATGAAGATTTGAGCGCTGGTTTCGTTTGTACTTTTGAACTCTAGTATCAGGCTCAACATAAAATTGAAAAAAGTGAAGGGGCCTGAAAACATTATGAATACACGGTATATACTATAAGAGGGGTAGACTCAATTGGTATTGGTAAACTATCCACAAGACAGGGACACCCCAGTACAGTACAAGCAGGTTTGTCCTGCGCTTTTATTCTGCAAGGCAGCAAACAGTTCAATTCAAGAGAGCTTTGTACAGCAAGTCCATTGATTTATACCCCTTTCACGTGGACATACAGATCGGACCATCTCTTGTTCTCTATATGGAAGCGTATGTAAATAGACATGTGTCCGTTTACGCCCACCTGCATCCGATCCAATCCGCTAAAAACAGACAGATGGGGGATCCGTTTCCCACCCATTTAGTGGATCGGATCAGATGATGGTCAGATGTAAATGGACAGGCAGTCCATTTACATCCAACTGCCCTATAGAGAACAGTGGGCTGTGTCCTGTCATCCATCTGCTCAGCGGGGATCAACGGATAGATTCCCAGCTGAGCAAGTGGATTCCTGGGCGGAGTCCGCCCGTGTGAAAGGGTCCTAAAACAAAACATCTGCTTATCTGAACCACTTAATAAACTCATGTTAGTCTCTGAATAACAGGGTGTCCCCTAATAAGATCCTCAAAACAAGCCAAGCAGCACATGTACCTATCGAGAGAGCGAAAGAGAAACAGAAAAATATATCAGTCTGAAAATGAAAAAAAAAAAAAATATTTCCGTTTAAAGTAGAACAGAACACAAAACAAGAAGATTTGCTGTCTTACAGGCAATATCTAGAACTGCCAATACTATGCAATAATCCAAAAGACTACCTTCTTGTCTAGAATTTCTCCTTAAAAACAACAATGTACTCCTTTTCCTTCAACATCATGGCTGCATATCTGCAGTGTGAGATCATCTAAGACATTGCTGAATATGACTATGAATCTCAGGAGATTTAGTGATGTCACAACTGTGCTTCCTTGCTGGAGAAGAAGCTATACCTGAGGAGATGCCATGCAAGGATCTCCCTGCTTCTGTTTAATTCATTCTATGAATAGGTGCTTTCTCCACCTCTTGATGATTGTTAAAGATTATCAGTCATCAGACCGCAATAATCTCTACCAATATGGTCACCTCCACACAAAGACATGGCACAGAAGAAGGCATAGCAAGTCAGTTATGGGGAAAAGCTCAGCTGTAAGGGGTGGACTGGCAAGACTGGCGTCTAGTGTTCTCTGCATGCCTTTATGACAAAACTTCCACAGTACAGATCCTCTTAAGTATCTCCATACTTGATGGGCAGGAACAGCTTTCTGAGTACTAATTGCCTGAAGTTGCTCCTTAAAGTGACACTAAAGCTGTTTTTTTCTTAAAATAAAAAAAATATATTTATTTTTATTCCAGGTACTTATATAGCGCCATCAATTTACACAGCGCTTTACATATATATTGTACATTCACATCAGTCCCTAACCCTCAAGGGGTGTACAATCTAAGGTCCCTAACTTACATTCATACATACACATACTAGTGACAATTTAGACAGGATCCAATTGAAATAGCAGCATGTCTTTGGAGTGTGGGAGGAAACCGGAGTACCTGGAGGAAACCCAAGCAGGCACAGGGAGAACATGCAAACTCCAGGCAGGTGGTGCCATGGTTGGGATTCGAACCAACAACCCGAGTACTGCCAGGCGGAAGTGCTAACCATTTAGCCACTGTGCTGCCCATCTATACTTACCTGCTCTATGCGGTGGTTTTGCACAGAGCAACCCTGATCCTCTTCTTTTAGGGTCCCGCCTGTGCTGCTGGCTCCTCCCCCTTAAGGCAGTGCACCCAGGGAAAGCTACTCGCCCTGGGGGGGGGAACAGCTGCATGCTTGTCCCTGAGTTGCTGCTCTATGGGTCCATAAGACTTCCGCAGCTCAGCCCCGCCAGCCACTCTCTCCTCATTGGCTCACTGGCTGTGATTGACAGCAGCGGGAGCAAAAAGGGCTCCCACTGCTGTCTCATCCAATGAGGAGATATAGTGAAAGTTGCTGGATTGTAGGGGGCTCAGGTAGGGATGGGGGGGGGGGCGGTGCTGAACACAGAAGGTTTTTACCTTCATGCATAGAATGCATGATAGTAAAAAACCTTGAGCCTTTAGAAACACTTTAAAACTAAAAACCAAAAGGAGAGAAAAAAAAAAAAGTTTAAATAATCTTGTAATTTTTTTTTTAATAGAAAGTTCAAAAAGAATATAATTTGTACAAACAACTGGCCATCTTAAAGAGGAAACACATTCTATTTAAGCATCAACTTTTTCTTTAATATAAACAAAATACAGGTTAGAGAGACTGTCACTGCCCATTCAGGTCACAGTGCTTGCTAATGGCCTTCCTCAGCAAGTTATACTTACTGGCTGGACTGTTAATAGGCATTTTTATTCTGCCCTAAATGGGTAGTGACAATGGCCTCTTTAAAATGAGCTTTTGCATTCTCCATGCAGGACAAGGCAACAGTTTTGCCTGCCTACCAGTTGCACATACTCACCTGCCCTTTGCTAACAAGCTGCTCTGCTGCTGGGAGTGAAGAGGAATACCCTGTACTTCTAGGTATATGGAAGATCATTAGTTAAACCTCATCTGGAATATGCAGTTAAGTTTTGGGCACCAATTCACAAAAAGTACATTGGGGAACTGGAGAAAGTACAGAGAAGGGCAACTAAACTGATATGAGGCATGGAGATCAGCTATGAGGAAAGATTAGAGGAACTGAATTTATTCTCTCTTGAGAAGAGGAAATTAAGGGGGGATATGATCTCCATGTATAATACATAAGGGGGGATATGATCTCCATGTAGAATACATAAGAGGGATATGATCAACATGTATGATACATAAGGGGGGATATGATCTCCATGTATAATACATAAGGGGGATATGATCAACATGTATGATACATAAGGGGGGATATGATCACCATGTATAATACATAAGGGGGGATATGATCAACACGTATAATACATAAGGTGGGATATGATCTCCACGTATAATACATAAAGGGGGATATGATCTCCATGTATAATACATAAGGGGGGTATGATCTCCATGTATAATACATAAGGGGGATATGATCTCCATGTATAATACATAAGAGGGATATGATCACCATGTATAATACATAAGGGGGATATGATCTCCATGTATAATACATAAGGGGGGATATGATCTCCATGTATAATACATAAGGGGGGGTATGATCTCCATGTATAATACATAAGGGGGGATATGATCACCATGTATAATACATAAGGGGGGGATATGATCTCCATGTATAATACATAAGGGGGATATGATCTCCATGTATAATACATAAGGGGGGATATGATCTCCATGTATAATACATAAGGGGGATATGATCTCCATGTATAATACATAAGGGGGGATATGATCTCCATGTATAATACATAAGGGGGGATATGATCTCCATGTATAATACATAAGGGGGGGATATGATCACCATGTATAATACATAATGGGGGATATGATCTCCATGTATAATACATAAGGGGGGATATGATTTCCATGTATAATACATAAGGGGGGATATAATCTCCATGTATAATACATAAGGGGGGGGGGATATGATCTCCATGTATAATACATAAAGGGGGGGGGGGGGGATATGATCTCCATGTATAATACATAGGGGGGGGGGGGTATGATCTCCATGTATAATACATAAGGGGGATATGATCTCCATGTATAATACATAAGGGGGGATATGATCACCATGTATAATACATAAGGGGGGGGATCACCATGTAATATAGGGGGGGGGGATATGATCTTCATGTATAAATACATCAGTGGTTCATATAGTGAACTCGGTGTAGAGTTATCCACCCTGAGGTCATCACAGAGGACAAGGGGGCACTCTTTTTTTCTGGAGGAAAAGAAATTGAATCTACAAATAAGGAAAGGTTTCTTCACAGTGAGATCTGTGAAAATGTGGAATAGACTTCTTCAAGAGCTGGTTCTGGCCAGCTCAATAGGTTGCTTTTAAAAAAAAGTCCTGGATTCTTTCCTAGATACACAGAATATAACTGGATACTAACATTTATAGGTAAAGTTGATCCAGGGAATATCAGATTGCCTCTCGGGGGATCAGGAAGGAATTTTTTTGCCCCTGCAGGAGAAAACTGGATCGTGCTTTGCTGGGATTTTTTGCCTTCCTCTGGATCAACTGTGGGTGTAGGATTATAACTTTTTTTTTTTTTTTATGTTTGAACTGGATGGACTCTTGTCTTTTCAGCCAGACTATGTATGTGACTCATACCCTTTCCTTCCATGTGACAGTGTCTGGTGTTTGTCCCACTCATGCCCCATGGGGGTGAAGATAGAGTCTTCAACCCTTTGAAAACTTCAAGTTGTGGTTCGGAGATTACAGAAGGCTTTCTCTCCTCGGCTCCACTGTCTGAACATAGCAGTAGGGAAGAATGGTTGAACATAGCAATGGAAAGCATAGAAAAGGTGAGTATGTGCCAGTGGAGAGGTCATCAATTAATTTACCTGTTGCTTTAACCTGTATAGGGAAAGTACAGATTATCTAAGTGTTATCAAAAACTTACTTCAACCTGGTTTAAAATACTTTAGCAGGTTGTTAAGCTTTGCTGAAGATTTTGGCCTTTGACTTTTGGCAATCTTCGCTTTCTCCTGCAATTTTATGGAAGGAATTTTGGGAGTGAGATCTTTGTGCTTCCAGTCAGCCATTAGTTCTTTTTGTAGTTCATTTGGAAGCTGAGAAAACACATTCATATCCACACTTCTAGGAAAAAAGGAAACTCTGTTGCTGTCACTGGATTCCGCACAGTCGACGTCTGCTTCACAGGGCTGACTAATTTGGTTGCTGCATGAAATGCAAGAGGAGGAACTGGCACAAGCAGTATTATCACCACTGTTTCCACTATCATTGTCTGTACATGAGCTGTGCTTTATGGAAAGTGGTGGGTCACCGGAGTCCATTGGGTTATGTAGACCCCACACTGGGATTTCAGGTAAAGAAGAACTTCCAGCTGTACAAGAACTCTGTGGATGCTTAGAACTGGCTTTCATGAAGAAAGCCTGTATTCCTTTAGAACATGGTGGTCTTGTGGTCTTGCGAATTTTGTGCACTGTCCCAGTCTGTGGGCTAAGGAGGATCTCCTTCTTAATGTCCTCAGGGAGCTGACTGAACACATCCATATCTATGTGGTCAGGGAGAGACAGCGAAGCAGAGTGATCTGTTTCCACTGAACAGAATTTTGAAGGATCTGTATCTTTGGGATCCTCCTCTGCCTTTGCTCCTGGGTCCTTATTTAAGAAAAAAAGAGAAGATAAACAAATATTACATAATGAGTTAGGCGGGAAGTGTACAGCTTCTGGTTCTGAAACAAAAAAGTGGACAGTTTTGGAATTCCCAGATTACCAAATATGCCATACTATGAACTATGTTTAGCAGGAACCCTCTAGTATTGGAATCACACAATAGAAGTCTCGGAAAATGAGATATGATACTTGGGTCCCTGCTTAAAGGGAAGCTACAGTTTTACAATAAACTAAGCTATACTAAAAAATGTAAGAGGTGGTGCAGTGTGGCTTGGATAGAGATGTGAACTGACACACAGGCAAGAGCTCAGTTTAAATTCTGCATGGCCCATCCTGTATCGGGCTGATCGCATCCCAGAACAACTTACCAGCTAGATTTCCTCCTATGGATCCCTTGGAGCTTCCTGCAGAGGTGCATCGAAGTGTGCTGACCATGACAAAAAAGAACAAAGACAAGGTGGCCTCCTCCACTAAGCCTCAACAAAATGGCACTGAGGCCCTCCAGCAGTGCTCCGTGAAAGAAAAGCTGAGGGACACGGTGGACCGCTTGAAACGATTCAGCCATACACCAGCGAAAGATCAGAGCCCTTGGCCCCCTCTCCAGAAACCATTCCGCTTCCAGCACAGACCGATCCGGTCAATGCAAGCTCACCGGCCTGGGAAGAGGATGAGGCCTCATGGTCACAGCCTGATTGTGCAGTGAGTACAGATGACATGCCAGAGGCAGACCACAGTCAGACTGATGCTCCTGTGTTAAACACTGAGCCTACACTTTCCTATATTATGCTAGCCATAACATCCTGAAAAAACTACCCTGACTAATCTCACTCAGGGTTTTGGGAGCCTTCAGGAGGAAATATCCATAATCCGCCAAGATATGAGAAATTTCAGGGATTGCATGGCTGCTAAAGAGGACAGAATTAGCACTGTTGAAGATCAGCTACATCCTGTACTAAAATCCTCTCTAAACTACATCAGCAACAACTAGCAGAATACGCTACATTGTAAAACCTGGAAAACAGTCTCAGAAGAAATAATGTCCGCATAGTTGGCTTAATAAAATGAGGGCAAGTCTCCTGTGGACTGTACTGAAAAATGGCTGCAAGAAATCATTGAAGCGCATTGCCTTTGCCCCATGTTTGTAGTAGAGAGGGCCCAACGAGTACCCACCAAGCCTCCTCCCCTGGGGAGTAACCCAATATCTTTCCTGCTAAAATGATTGAATTATAAGGATCATGATACCATTGAATGATACCATAAAATTTTTGGTCTTTTTTTGTTTATAGCGTGAAAAATAAAAAGCGCACAGGTGATCAAATTACACCGAAAGAAAGCTCTATTTGTGTGAAAAAAAAGACGTAAATTTCGTTTGGAAGCAGCATTGCATGACCGTGCAATTATCAGTTGAATTAGTACAGCGCAGAGTAGCAAAAAGAGGCCTGGTCATTAAGGGGGGTAAATCCTCAGGAGGGCAAGTGGTTAATTTCCAGATTCCCACAGACAATATGGGAAATAGAGCCATCCTATCGCTTGATGCGGCTAAAGCTTTTGATAGCAAAGAGTGATACTTCCTATGACATGTGTTACAAAACTTTGGCTTTGGTCCGCATTTTATTAGCTGGATTCACTGCTTTATTCTTCTCTTTTTGCTAGGGTTCAACTAAATAGACAAGTTTCTGACCCATTCCAACTCCACTGGAGCACTAGGCAGGGGTGCACTTTGTCACCCCGGCCTTGGAACTAATAGCAGCCGCAATTAGAAAGTCACCGGATATAGAAAGAGGAGAGAGAATATAAAAGCCCCTTAGGCAGATGATACCCTTTTGTTTTTTTGGGGGATACCTCCTCCTCATTGGTAGCAACTATGTGCCTTATTTCAGTATATGTCATGAATAGCAATCAATAGAACATTAAATCACAGCAGCGCTCCACACTTTTAAAAATTCATAGTCTTCCACCCTTTGGTGATGAAAAGTGCAACAGATCCTCAATAGTCAGTGAGATGTTTTTTCTCTGGGTCAAATAGCTCACAGCTTTACTCCTCCACCTTTAATCACAGTAGCAGATCAATCACCCTTTGGACTCAGTGAACCACATCTCCTCAGGATACAACACTCACTGCAAGGAAATGTATTTCTTCATAAGAAAAGGCTTCCGTATTTCCACTCTACCCCATAGCCCAGACATATGAAGAATGTGGGAGGTTGTTGTCACATGGACCACACAGCCAGTACTTGCCAGATATTCCTGCAGCATCTTTAATGTTGCTGTAGACCTCTTGGTAGCCTCCCAGACCAGTTTTTCTTCTCATCAAATTTGGGGGGAAGTCCAGTTCTTGGTAACGTCACGGTTGCGCCATAATTTTTCCACTTGATGATGGTCTTCACTGTGGTCCATGGTATATCTAATGCCTTGGAAATTCTTTTGTACCCTTCTCCTGACTGATACCTTTTAACAATGAGATCCCTCTGATGCATTGGAAGCTCTCTGCGGACCATAGCTTTTGCTGTAGGATGCGACTAAGAAAATGTCAGGAAAGACCTACTAGAACAGTGGTTCTTAACCTTGTTGGAGGTACTGAACCCCACCAGTTTTCATATGCGCATTCACCGAACCCTTCTTAATTGGAAAAATAAAATATGATTTTTTAAAATTCAAAACATAGGTATATATTTAGGTATATATTTATACATAGGTGCACAAAATGAACAAAACTGTTAAGAACAAAGAACAAAACCATTAAAACATGATTTTCACACAAAAACATAATAATGAATATTTACTGCACGAATCATATGAGTCGGGTGTGGGTCTTCACCTCCGCCGAAACCCGCGAGACTGACTCACCGAACCCCTGGGTTCGATCGAACCCAGGTTAAGAACCACTGTACTAGAACAACTGAACTTTATTTGGGGTTAATCAGAGGCACTTTAAATGATGGCAGGTGTGTCCTGTCTCCTATTTAACATGATTTTGAATGTGATTGCTTAATTCTGAACACAGCTACATCCCCAGTTATAAGAGGGTGTGCACGCTTCTGCAACATTATTTTAGTTTTTCATGTTAACTTCCCCCCCCCCCCCCCCAAAAAAAAAGATTTCCGTTTGCTTTTCAATTAAGTTGTACAGTTTATAGGTTACATTAAAGGTGGAAAAAGTTCTGAAATGATTTATCTTTGTCTCATTTTTTTTACATCACAGAAACCTGACATTTTAACAGGGGTGTGTAGACTTTTTATATCCACTGTAGCTAAACACAAGGGTTTTGATGCATTGCGGCAAGCGGGTATTGCTCACTTGAACCAATTATATAGCACGGATTCTACCTTTTGACATTTTAGCGGAGGAATATCAACTATTCAGCTCTGCAATGTCAGAATTCCTTTATGGTGCTGAAATATAATCCCTCCAGCATACTTCATATGTCGGTGTGCATGTCCTGTACTTAAAAAGGCTTCATTGGGGATTTGTGTTCAGCTTTACATACAGCCTTCAGTGCACAGATACACTTGAAGTGTAATAGTAGGTGGGAGGAAGAATTGGTTCCCTTTGAGGAAGAGCAGTGACAACACTAGAACTTACCCCTATGGTATCTCTTTCCTCATCTCAACACCTAATGCATCTATTTATACTACGCAGGGTTCCCCACATACCACAATATCTACATTTATGGGGTAGATCTGACTCACCTAACTGCCCATGTTGTAAGGTAAACACAGAATTCCTAATTCATATGCTGTATCATTGCCCAAAACTTCATAGATATTGGGCTAAAGTTTTCCAGACACTTAACAGTATCTGCTATATTCAGGTCCCACCTGAACCAAAGTGTGCTCTCTTGGGTATTATACCGGATGATGCTCTACCTGCTGAATATAGTCTATTATGGACTACAGCCCTGTACACTGCCTGTAAACTTATTTTGCAGAGGTGGCTCTCGCCTACCCTTCCAACACTTTCTCAATGGAAGGATATGGTGAATTCTAATTTAACGCCTTGACGCCGACAGTACACAAATATGTGGCCTCTCAGCGTCTGGGCCTTGAAGCCGAGCGGCCGCATATTTGCGTCCCATTTGAAAACACCTATGTGCTGAGAGCGCACACCCCGCACACTCCCAGCACACGTGTCGGTGTCGGTGTCTCATGGAAAGGTCCAGATCTCCCCATGCGTTCGGGACATTTTCCAATCATGTGACTGCCGTGACAGTAAATCATGGCGGTCACATGACCCTAAAACCCTGCCCCACCTCCTGGCATCTGAAACCCCTTAAAGGGCCAGGAGGAGCCGGCGTGAAGAGGTTAAGGCAGGTCGAATTAGGATATGAAGTCAGCAGCTACAATTTTTTTTAGTTGCCGACTTTTAATTTTTTGAGGGGAGATTGGACCTCCTTTAATTCGAAGAGAGAGCTGTAGTCCAATATCAATCCTTCACAATGCTTTATTTGGTAAAAAGATAAGTGATCTGGCACATCCAGAATGCTTATCTTTTACCAAATGAAGCACAAAGAAGGATTGGTATTGGACTCCAGCTCTCTCTTTGAGTTTTATGCCTATGAGGTGTACAGGAACCTCAGCTGTTGAGGCCGACATCCCTGGTGTGTATATTGGGACAGAGGTGGGGATACTCCTGAGATACTTCTATGCTTGCAAACCACTTAGACACATGGAATCCAGTCTACCACATTTGTCCTCTTACCATGATGATTTGACTGGCCTCCGTTGATGGTGCTTTCTTTTGAGTTAGGTAAAATCCAATTGAGTTTCGAGATGAGTTTGAAGACTGAGCTGATTTGAGGTTTGAAAAGCAGACATTTAGAAGGGTGAGGTGAAAGGGTGACTTAACATCAATCATCTTCTCAAACAACTTCATAAGTAGTTCCATCAGAACAGAGAAAGAACTCTCTACCCAAGGAAAGAAAAAAAGCAACATTAAACCAAAACATCAAGCTAAGAAATGAAAGAGATGAACAAGAAGAGGAGAGGAGGTTATCACAGTGTTCCCTCTCCAGAAATGCATTAATTTCAAGACTTCCTCATACAGATCCTGCATGTTCTCAGAGTATATCAGTGAGAAGATCCCCAAGTAGAAGTCTATAAGAACCCATTGACATACAGGCCTGAGCACTCGCTGAGGGAATAGGACTTGACACAAGACTAGCAGATGAACAGATGGAAGGACTGAGGCCATGCACGTGTCAGGGTCTGGATCTGAACCTGCGACCTCTGCAGTGTCTGGCTGTGACACTTCCCGCCTGTGCCACCCAATGCTGGACAGCTCCTAGTCTGATACCTTAGGACAAACTTGCCTTGTATCTTGTTTCTAGTGAACTTTGAAATCTTCCCATGAACATCCTGGCTTAAGTCATGTCTTTGCACTGTTTGACAGATTATTGTGCTTTCTCCTGCCTATATCTTGCTTCTTCGTGTACCTGCAGCTGTCCGTACCTTCAATACCACTCACTACTGACTTTTGGCTTGTTCCTCAACTATGCTTCTGATGATCCCAACCTGCATCCACTTGTTATTGACCATGCTTCTGCTTGACCCCTATCTGCAACTGGACCCCGGCTTGCTCGTCTCCTGGTGGGGCAATCCTGAGGACCATGACCTGGTACTAACATGCAGCAAAACCCATGTCCACCATCAGGAGCTCTGGTGAGCACTGGTTAGTGTTTAGACCCTGCACCTCTTGTGAGTTCACGCCATCCGCCAGGGTGACCTGCTTGTGTACTTATCCTGCTGGTCAGTGGGAGCCTCTCAACTGGTATAGCTACTGGTCTCTTGAGCCCAACCCTTGACCATGACAGTTGGTAACAAAAACTAGTTGGGTCCATTGTAACCTCCTAATATCTTTATATTCCTCCTAAATATTTGCTGGGTATGGCCCTAGCACATAGCATATAGAATATTGACCAATGAAATCTAACATTGCATTTGTAGCAAAGGAATTAAAAACAAATGCCATCTATTATAAATGTAAAAATATTGTAAATTGTGTGCAAAAAAAGTTTATGTTCAGCCAAAACACTTTTCATAGTTCCGGATAGAATGGAGAAAGATACAATTTTTTTGTAGCTACTTGGGGCTCTATTTACCAGATTTCCTCTCACTAAAGCTGGCCATACTCAGCCAGAAGCTGAATAGGAGAAATCTATTGGTTCCGCCATCCAAAAACACACGATGGATGGACGAATCTACACTACCAGATATTGTTTTCTGACAGCCAGCGCTCTCAGAATAAAAGAACAGTGGCTGCATCTGACTAGATGCAGTTGCTGTTCGCCTGTCAATTTTCTGCCCCGCTCTCTTGATTTGCAGATCTAGGTGTTTCAGGTGGGGAGGGTGTCAACAGGGCAACCCAAAGCTCAATTTGGCTGGATCATGGGGAACCTGACGAAGTTTGTTCCATGTATGGCCAGCTTTGTTGACAACAGTTTCACCAAACAAGAAGTAAAGGAAAAACTGCAACAAGGGGACCAACATAAATTTAGAAACATTTTTTTTTTCTGTTCTCGTTTTCTCTCATTTGAAAAGAATCTTGGGGTTATGACTTTCTTGGAGGTCTACTCTAGGAAAACACAGTAAATCAATTTTCTCATCTCTCTAGTCTGAAATCCCATTGTAAATCTGCTATTAAGCCAACACTGCAAAATCTGACTGAGCACTGGACACATCTCACCCAGGGGGTTGCTCACCGCTGCTCAGATTCTGAATCACGTTCTTGGGGACAGGACACTGGCGACTTTCCCGATTGAAATATCTATTGGTCGGTGAGAACTGTCGTAGTGTTAGACGCAGGGTATGAGGACTCCTTCCATCTGTATACAGTCTGGAGAGATGAGAGTTAACAATTATCAACACTACAATCCCATCTCACTGTAAACTGTACAATGTTCAATGTCATATACACAGAAAATGCTGCCATAAAACCCTGGTAATCAAACTGTGGCCAGAGGGCAGCATGTGGCCCTTTGGTACAATACATGATGTGGGGCCCTTGGACCTCAGCAGTCTGTAGTGGAAACATTGATTAGTGTAATAGCATTGATCTTTAATACCCTCATATAACATGTTCCCAGTTTTGTATTGTCTTCTGCAGCATATTCACAGTTAAAAATGCATCCTGTCCACACTCTCTGACCCTCATATCCTATATTAGGTCTGTGATTTCTGACAGTCCTCTCAAGCATTACATATATTTAACATTATGTTTGGCCCTTTGGTGTCATGGGCCGCATTTGAGGTCCCCCTTTAGCTCGTAAGTTGACAACCACTGCTATAAAATGTTATATTCTGTTAGCCCAAGTCAGACTTTTTTCAGCCAGGTTCTGTGGAACCCTAGATTCCTCCAGAGGTTGCCAGGGGTTCCATGAGCAATGAGCAGCTCCTGACTCATAGTAAGTAACCACTGACACCAATGATCTTTTTAGCTATCTGTAAGAAGCATTCTTCCCACTCACTACCAGTGTAAGGGCAATCCTCCCACTGACCACCCCACTACCAATGATCACCAATGTAAGGCGCTCCTTCTCCCACTGACTATCCGTCTAAAGCAGGGGTCTCCAAACTGAGGCCTGAGGGCCAGATGTGACCCTTTGCTAGCCTTTATCCGGCCCTTGGGGCACTATTCCTTCCAATGATATGAAGCAGTATTCCTTCCACTGACCCAAACAATGGGGTACTATTGATAGCACTTATGTGGTACTATTCCTCCCGTTAATACCAATGATGGGGAACAACTCTTCTTCCTAATGACCACAATCTCTGAGGCCATGTTTATTCTCACTGATGCTGGGCCCGAAACATTTTCTATCCCCACTGGCCACACTCCGGCCCTCTTAAAGTCTGAAGGACCACAAACTGGTCCTTTGTTTGAAAAGTTTGGAGACCCCTGATCTAAAGGGTCCCTTTTGTGCAGTCAGGTGGGTAAAAAAAACCCTCTAAAAAACCCCCCAAAAAAACCCACCTCTTTATCTATAGTATATGATCATAGTTTATCTGTCTGTGTAATGCTGCCCTCTCATGAGCAGACTGCTAATCGTAGCTCTCGACTGTGGACACAAAGATCTTCTTAAGCCACCCACAATGATAGGCAACCAAGAAAAAAAAGTCTTTAGTGTTTTCCTCCTTTCCGCCACCTCCACTCTTACTGGCTGAATTCCTCCAACCGTGCTATGTAGAATGTATGGGGGAATCTGTTCTATTATATTAGTTCAGTCCGCAGGTCGAAAAAAATAATCTGTTTTTCGTATACGCACCTTAAAGCAGAACTATACTCACCTCGGCCCCAATGCTGTGGCGTCCCGCTGCTCCCCGCCTGGCCACTGACATCTTGGGGCAGCTGGCTTCTGGGTCTCAATCATCGGCCGCTGTCATTGGCCAGGCAGGGATGATGGCAGATTCATCATTGCCGAATTTGTACAGTGAGCTGCACATGCACGGCTCACTGTACGGGGGCGGACAGGCAGGTAAAGTAATTTTAATGCCGAAGAGACAAAGCATGTCTCTTCTGCATTAAAATTCCTGCCTGTTCTTTTTATTTGTACCGAACGTTCCAGTTTAAGAGAGGAGGCCTCAGTGACCCGAATAAAAGGAAGCCTACTGGAGTGTGGAATAAGGTAAGCAATTCTCCATATTCCAGCAACCCCAGACATAACCCTGTGCAGAGCAGGGGGCTTGTTTTCTGTTCCAGCCCAGAGTTCATGTGACTCATAATGAGAAAGCTCTATTTGTGGGAAACAATACATCTCATTTATGTATAGCGTTGCATGACCGTGTAATTGTCAGTTAACGTATCGCAAAAAATGGCCTGGTCAGGAAGGGGGGTAAATCCTCTGGAAGGCAAGTGGTTAAAATAATACCTGGTGATCCTGTCGTGAATTTACACACACTTTAATGCAGGAACGTGTGCGTTTGGATTGTACACTTGAACCCCAGAGGGGGTTCCTGGAGATTTGGGGGAGGCATTCCCATTGAAAGCAATGAGAGGCTGCTGTAGATAATTGTGGCCGCTTGCATTTTGAACTGCTCATATGGCGATTATCTGTGAGTGATTGTCCCTGGATGCAGGCTGTGTGCATCCAGGGCCAATCACTCGCAGGTGGTCACTACGTTCACAGGTGGCCTTAGGCTTCATAGCTACTTCAGCCTGAAAGAAAATGTAGGATAAACTTCAAATGAGCTCCAAACATGCATCAAATTATTACAGACTAATACAGTTTGAATCGCACCTATTTAAAAGGCTCCGGAGTAGTTCCTCAATCTTTAGTTTCACTTCTGACACTGTGGAACATTTTTTAAATGAATCTTCTTCACTGAGAGACTGTTTTGATACAAAAAAAAAAAAAAAAACTCCATCATACAGGAATGATGAATGAAACGTCTGTACACAAAACACAACAACAAGAAAAGTAATAAGATGAACAGGTGACAAAGTAACTGAATCTATAGAAGATAAAAATAATTATATATAAATACATACAGTACACAACTTATTTGCCTCCAAGAGGCTGAGAAGGATCTTGGAGTAGAGCATTCCTCCAAAACTAAAATCAGAATTATAGGTAAAAGCTTTTTTTACATTTTGGATGGAGTAAGGGAGTGTTATAACCCCTGTCAGTTTTATTTGCCATCTGTGTCCCATTGGGGAGATTTACCTTCACTTCCTGTCCTATAGCCAAAATAGGAAGTGGGAGGAAAGCCCTCCAAAGCAAGGAAAGGCCAAAACTGGTACCCTCATTGAAAAATTTCCCCTCTATTCCTTTTTTGGGGAAAGCCCAAATTTGCGGATTTTCTTTTACTTTCAATGATAACGGTTCACAGGCCAAATAGAGAAGGTGAATCCCCCTAAAGGGGACACAGACAGCAATAAAGGCTGACAGG